TGTAGCCCTGGCTGGCCTGAAATTCTCTATATAGACCAGGCTGGCCTCAAATTCATAAAGATTCTTCTGCTTCTCCCTTCTAAGTTCTGGGATTAGAAGCAAATGACACCAACTCTCAAAGTCTTCCTTTCTTTCTTTTTATATATGTGAATACACTGTAGCTGTCTTTAGACACACCAGAAAAGAGCATTGGATCCCATTACAGATGGTTGTGAGCCACCATGTAGTTGTTGGGAATTGAACTCAGGACCCCTGGAAGAGCAGTCCGTGCTCTTAACTGCTGAGCCATCTCTCCAGCCCCCTCAGAGTCTTTCTTAAGCCCTTTCAAAACACAACCTCAACCAGCTAGTCCATCCTCCTCTGACCTCAGTGTACAGGAGCTGCTGCAGGGCCACTGCCATGGTCCTAGTACCTCCCCCTGACCTGACCATCCATCTTCCTGATGAGGCCCTGTGCTCATCAGGAAACCTGGCTGGCAGAGGACTACCTCCTGCCTACTACCGTCCTTGTAGGTCACTGCTCACTTACCACCTGTCTTCTCCCTTCTGCTTATTTACTCAGGGATTTGATTTTAGTGTCACTTCTATGGTTCCATTGGTCAGAGCTGACATATGTTCCTCCCAGCCCCTGTAGTCCTGAGTATTGAACCTGGGCCTCATGCATACTAGGCAAACACTCTACCACTGAGCTGTGTCTGTGGCTCTAACACACACACACACACACACACACACACAGACACACACACATGCATGCACACATGCGCACACATATTTTATAGCAGCTTTATTTATAGTTGCCTGCACTTGGAAACAACGCAAATGTCCTTCACTGGGTGAATGGATAAACACACTGGTCCATTCAAACAGTGGAACATTGCTAAGCCCCAGATAGAACTGAACTACTGAGCCATGAAAAGATTCAAAGCAGATGTAAATGATTATTGCCAAATGAAAGAAGCCAGTGAGGGACTGGCAAGATGGCTCAGTGGGTAAAGGCCCCCCGGTGCTGCCAAACCTGCCCACCTGAGTTTGATCCCTGCAACCCACAAGGGAGGAGAAAGCCAAGCTCCACGGCCTTCCCTCTGACTTTCACGCACCCCTCCCCCCCATCCAACTACACACAGGTAAATGTAATTTCTGAAACTTAGAAGCCATCAGGAAAAGGATGCAAACTATGCTTCCAACACTGACACCAGAAAAGGCAGCACCATCAGATCAGTGAAGAGACCAGGAGTCTGCAGGCAGAAGGAACAAAGTCCCACAGGGACCGTTCAGGGCTGTGACCCTACTGTGTTTGATACTATGGAACTGAATCCATGCCAGTTTACATTGCCCAAGCCAAAAGAACGACAACCCCAAAGTGGCCCCTGGTGACAACTGCAGGGCTTTATGATACTGCTGTGATGGCAGTGGTGCAAGCCATTAGTCCCAGCACTTGGGACGCAGACACCGGTAGATCTCTGGGCGTTCAAGAACTCTGTGAGTTCTGCTCTACGGAGTGAGTTCAGAGAGTTTCCTAGGGCGTATGTGAGTGCGGTAAGGGAACTGAATCCCATGCTTTCAGTTCAGTTTTTCTGTAAACTGAAAACTGCTCTAGAACATGTCTTCTGATTGCTTTTAAAGCCTCACACAGCGAGTTGGGCATGGGGAGCTCATTTGACTATACTAGTGTAGCATGTGTGAGCCCCAAGTGCCCTTCCTAGCACCAGGTGAAACTAGGCATGTCAGCACACTCCTGTAATACCAGTACCCCAGAGGAACTGGCAGGAAGATGTGAGGCTCAAGGTTACCCTAAGCTATGTAACAACCTCCAAATTCCAGGCCAGCCTGGGGTACAGGAGACTTTGTCTCAAAATGCAAAGCAAAGAACTCTCAAGCTGCCAAACCCCTCCCACCGCCCAAATGCAAGCAGAGCTGGTCTTGGTGGTTCAGGCTTGCAATCTCTGCTTTTGAGAAAATAAAACAAGATGGTTGAGGGTTCCAGTCCAAGTCCAACTTGGGCTATATAGTAAGATCAAAGGCAGCCTGAGCTAAGTACTCTGTCTCCAAAAAAAACCAAACAATTCCCAGTAACAAAAACCAGGTGATTTTTGATCCAAGAGCTAGCTCCTAACAGTTGGCTTGGTGGGTTTGTAGTTTGATTTTAAGGACTATCTTTTTGGTTTGGGTTTCTGTGCTGGGTTGAACTCAGATCTTGGTACATGCTAGACAAGTGTTCTACCGCTAAGGTCCGGGATTTCAGGGATGAGGATGTTTTGCAAGACAATGTATTTGTCATTTCGGGTGCTAGGCTGCCCTTAAGGCGGTTCTCTGCATCTGTCCACCCTGCCCTGGCTTCTTCGGGAGCGCTAGGACACTGGTCTCCCTTTCCCCTCAGTCGTCCGTCCGCCTGCCCCTCCTAGGCTCCTCAAGACACCTACAGCCCCTTCCAGACAGGAGTGCGGTAGGGTCTTGGTCTAGGCTAGGCTCCAATAGGAGTTGAGGCCTCACAGTGCGGATCCCTCTGCCTGTCCTGAACTGCCACCCCCTGCCCCCTGTTCCCTATCTCTGGTCCCAGATGGAGATGTCCATTTCGCTACTTGGTAGCACTATCCCTCTACTCCCGCTCCCTTCCACCCCCCGCCCAGCCAGTTGAGGGGCGCCAACACGGCGGTAGGGACAGGAGATGGCCGGACGACAGCTGGGGGGGCGGCCCTGACCTTCCCGCAATCGATGGGGCGCGGCCGGCCGCGCGGAGCCGGGGCGGTGCCGGAGCCCCCCGCCTGCGGTTCGGGCAGCTATAAAGCGGTGGCGCGGGGCTCAGGCTGAAGTTGCAGCATTTATCCCACCCAGAGCCTGACCATGGAGCGTCCGCTGCCCACGCCGCTGCTACTGCTGCTGCTGCTCTCCAGTTCCGCCGCGCTCCCTGCACCTCCCAGGTGAGCAGGGTCCAGAATCCCGTTTCATCCCGGCCACGCCCACACTTCCATTTCTGACTCATATGGCTCCACCCCTCCCCAGGATCCCAAGACACTCAGACGGGACGTTCACCAGTGAGCTCAGCCGCTTGCAGGACAGTGCCAGGCTGCAGCGCCTGCTGCAGGGTCTGGTGGGGAAGCGCAGGTGAGCCAGCGCTAGGTAGAATTTTCCAGACTTGCTGGTATGGGGCAGGTCTGCCACATCTCAGTACACCACTAATTCTACTTTGGGCTTGGGGGTGGGGAGCAGTGAGCAGGACACAGAAAACATCCCAGAGAACAACCTGGTCCGGTCCAAGTCCTTAGAGGACCAGCTCTGCTTGCTATGGTCGAACACCCAGGCCCTACAGGATTGGTGAGCACTCCGCCCTCAGCTGGATTCCTAAAGTACCCTCGCCATGGAGGTGCCTGCACTCTGATGGTCAGTCACTAGTCCCCTCACCAGCTATCTCCCTCCACAGGCTTCTGCCCAGGCTGTCTCTGGATGAGTCCCTGTCTCTCTGGCTGCCTCCTGGACCAAGGCCTGCTGTCCACCGTTCAGAGTGGACTGAAACAACCAGGCAACCCAGATGAGGGAGGAAGGGGGGTCTCTAGGAATCTGGCTGGAGCAGGGGTTGATTGTCCTTGGCATCAATAAAGAAGGAATTTAGACCCTAGTCTTTTGGCTCATGGTGTGTGATATCTGATAAAATCGAGGTAGCCTCTGCTCTGTGAGCCTGGCAGGCATGGACAGATCCATCCATCTCAATCAGTGGCCAGGACCACACCCAGTTGCCCTTTAAACCTGGGAAGCCAGCTAGGGCATTTCTTATCTCTGGCATCAGCTGAACCCCTCTTTTCCCAGCTGAATTCCAGAGAGTCTCACCCTGCCCTGTGGTCCATTTAGCAAATTTTCCAGGGATCAGGCATTCCCTACCCTGGTCCAGCCGTGTGGTCAGGATAAATGAAGTGGTGAGGGGAGGCTCGGGCGGGCCAATAGGGGTTCCTTATGAGTGGGAGGACCTGAGTACATTCTGGCTCTACATGTCTGTTTGGTCACGGCCCAGCCCTGAGGCTTGGATGGTGATGTTATCTCCCAGTAGGCAGCTGTGGGACCACAGAAGGGTTCTGAGACAGTGCTTGGTCCTAACAGAGGCCTGGAGCCTCAGGAAGGTGTTTAAGCATCTAAAGCAGCCCTGAAAAGGCCCAGAGTGGTGAGGGCTATGCAGGCCCTTCCAACAGAACACCCCCTACCACCCTCCTGACCCCACCTAGGGGCTTCTTCCTATCTCTGAGAACTTGTAGGGGAGAGGAGAGGAGCCAAGAAAGATGGAAGCAGGTCTGATGGAGGCCTGTCCTCACCAGGACTCCTATCTTCCATCAGATACCGGCTCCCCAACCCCCCAGCTTCTAGCTGGGGCTGAAAAGTTCTATTTGCATCCTATCACCCACCAAGGCTCTGCCAGGCCCTACCCTGGAGGAACTGCTGTGTTTCTCAGACAGCAGGAGCATGCTGGGACACAGCCTTTTCCTTTGGGGATGGAAGCGGAATGGGAGGCAACCTGACGTAGCTCCAGGAATTTTGCTAAAGAACACTGAAGAGAAACAGACAAAGTCAGGGTGATGCTGATGTGAGCTACAGAAGATCCAAGACTAGTGGCTCAGCCCATATCCCTGTCCTTGCTCCCCGCTCCCCAGCTTTGCCCCCGCTCCCCACAACCCTGCCCCGCTCCCCAGACCTATGGGTCCATCCCCCTGCTTCAGCCCCCAGCCCTGACTCAGCCTCCTTAGATCTATGGCCCCAGAGTCTTGCCCTGGCTTCCCATGCCTATTCTCCTCTCCTATTTGTTCTCAAGTTTCTTACACCTGATGTGTAGTGCCTGTGGGTTGAGTCCCCAGCTAACTTCCTGGAAGTCCACGCTGAAATGTGACCTCATGTCCCCTGTTAGTGCCGGCCAGCGGGATCCCCCTTGGTAGAGGCCATCTGTAAAGGGTCATAAAATGAGGCGGTGCCTGGCAGGGGCGAAGGTCGCCAAGGCAGGAACTGTACCAGCCCTGGAACCAGGCAGGCTGGACCCTTCTTCCAGGTGACAGCTGCCAACATGGGGGCTCCGGCCCTCCTGTGGCCTCCCCTGCTGTTGCCATTGCTTACCGTGCTGCTTGGCCAACCTCTGCGGACCTTGGCCCAGGACCAGCCCCAGGGTATGTGTGGGGCAGGGGCAGGGTGGGTGGATGGCTGAGCTGGGGTGGGAGGAACCAACTTTTCCTTTGCAATTTTCTAGTCTGCGATGTGAACCGGACCTTATTTACAATCGAGGAAAACACTATTGTTTCTGAGCCACTGGTGAACATTACTGTCCCAAAAGACCAGCAGGTGGCCTTGGGATCGTCCACCCCTCCTTACGCCTTTAAGCTTGAGGGCAATCAGCTGTTTCTCAATGTGACTCCAGATTATGAGGTACAGGCTGTAGGCTGGATAGAATATGTCTTCATGGGGACATTCATGAGGATCCGCTCCCCTAACCTGGGGAAGATTCCGGGAAGGAGGGGCTGAGGGATGTGTATCCCCTGGTAGTGAGGAGCCTTCAGGCCCAGTGGTTGGTTGGCTGGTTGGTACTGAGGGGGAGGCCATAAGGGGACAAAGTTGCCAAATGCCCCCTCCACCCAGGATTTCCCACAGATGACGGGCACTGGAGCGGTGCCTGCTCTCCTGGCTGTACTCTCCTAATCCTAGAGAAGCATAGGTCTCTATGTGGCAAGTGACTCATAGGTCCCCTGGCTTCATCCTCAGAAAGACTCATTGCTGGTGGCAGTCCTGGAGTGTAAGAGAGGAGATAGTCTGGTAAGTTAACCCCATTATCTGACCACCCTTGCCTTCTGTCAGAGTACCCCAAGACCTCTCCTCCATGACCTTACCCCAGGGAGTCTGAACATCAGCTCTCTCTGGCCACTCCCATGCTCCTTTCAGCCTAGACTCTGCCCTGAGCTCCAGACTCGAACCCAGCTAACTTAGAGCCGTGTATTAAGTCAATACCCTGACACCCTAAGTCTGCCCCTCATCCCTCACCTAGGAGACACCTTCATCTGCCAGACACTTAGGCCACTTTTGATGTCAGCCCACCCAAGGTACACTGTTGGCATTGTTGGCTGTGCCTCAGTTAGAGTCAGACCTACTCTTCCTACCTCTAGTCCCACGGGGCCTTGGTCAACAGCTCTTCTTTCTGACTCTTCCTGCGGATCCATTTGCCATTCTTGTCCTCCCCCTCCTCTATCCCTTCCCCATGGAGTAACTCCCTAGAGAGTCATAACCACAACCCTGTGCAGCCTACACAGAAACTTCCACATTTTTTTTTTTTTACTGGAAGCCAAAGCTAAATGCACATCTGGGTGGGCAAAGCTAGGGTATACAGACTCTGAGCTGGTGTGCAAATTCATTTTGCTGCCTAACCCCCCTACTTTATTCTGCCCCCTACCCTATCCCATATACCGTATCCCTCAGCCTCCACCACAAGCCTTTTACTAAAGCAAGCTCGAAGGGATAACCACACCCCTGCTCCACCAGGAGCGGCTCACAGTCTGCACTCCTGCCCTGCACCACGACACGTTACCCACACACATTGTGGCCTAGGTCTCTAATAGATAAAAATAATTTAAAACAAAACAAAACTTATTTTTTAGGTATAGTTTAGTGGTAGAGTGCCTGACTAGTATGATTGAAGTCCTGGGCTCCACCTTCAACACACAAATATATTTCACACAAACACACAGACTGAGAGAGAGAGAGAGAGAGAGAGAGAGAGAGAGAGACAGAGAGAGAGAGAGACAGAGAGACAGAGAGATACACACACAGAGATAGAGACACAGAGAGAGATACACACACAGAGAGACAGAGAGACACAGAGAGACAGAGAGAGCCATGGCCTGACATCTGTCACCCCGGAGGAACAGCTTTCCCTCTCTGTCCTCAGCACCTGGCTGTGTTCATGTCTCCCTGGGTCTCAGGAAGGGCTCTCTCATGGGAGAGAGCTGCTTGATTTTAACCTGAAGGCCCCTTTCTCTGCTGTTCTCTTGGAGATCTGCTTTTGAAGCCATGAGATGCTGTCTTTCTTCTCCCTTTGATATTTTGCTGGTTGTGTCCCCAGGCTTGTCATTATTTCTCTTCAGCACATCCACCACACAAGTGCAGCCACACTCTGAAGCTTGTTTTTACAGTCTGAGTTCCTCCCAGAACAAGAGCTCACAGGACACCACATTGTTGATGCCACCAGTGTCTGTGGAATGAAAGGGAAAGAGTGACTGACTGACTGACTGAATGAATGAATGAATGAATGAATGGATAAGAAGAGGAAGGAATGAATGATGGAGCATCAGAGCATTGTTCCTCAGCCAGGGGCTGACTTTGGTGACTTTGCTGCAGGTGACACAGCTCAGGGTGTCTGTGGCTGTCCTGGATGTCAATGACAATGAGCCAAAATTCCCCTTTACAATCAAGAAATATGATGTATCAGAGGTGAGTCCAGTCTGAACCAGTGCCGTCTTGAGTGTGGAGAAGGCGGAGGGACACAGGGTGTCTGGGGGACAACATCAGGGAGATCTATATACAGAAGCCACAGCATGGCTGGACCACCCTCCTCCTCTCCACCCCCAGGACACCAAAGTGAATACAATCATCATCCCTGAGACAGAGCTGAAGGCTACAGATGCTGACAAAGATGACATCCTAGTCTACACTCTGCAGGAAGTGACCCCTGTCAGTGCTTCCCCATCCCCACTCCTTATTGACACCCCACCCCCACCCTTTCTGATGCCTTCAAGCCTCAGTTCCTCCACCTTCCAGAGTCCCACCTCCTTCCTCTCCACAGAATGCCAACAAATTCTTCTCCCTGGTGAGCGTAACCTCCCCTGCTCTGAAGTTAGACCAGACCCTGGATTTCTACAAGAATCAGAACATGACCTTCGAGCTGCTGGTCCGGGTAAGCAGATTACATCTTCCTAAGTCCTGGATGTTTTAGGTCCTGTCCAAGTTGGGCCTGACCTATCAGGGACTGGCTGTTACTACAGGATACTTGGGAGGCGAATGCAAGTGTTAGCCACACGGCCAATGCCACCCTGGTCTTGAACGTGCTGCCGGCTGACCTACGGACCCCCTGGTTCCTGCCATGCTCCTATACAGATGGCTACTTCTGCATCCAGGCCCAGTACCGTGCGATTGTCCCCACGGGACACAAACTGGTAATGGGGAGTAAGAAGGCCCAGGGTCAGACTTGAATCTAGAGCCAAGTCAGAAAACAATTCAGGGTGGGGATCCAGTCATACATGGTCCCGGGCTCCCGGAGAGGCTTGCAGACAATTCCGTGATTTGTGAAACAAACATGGACGAGCAATCAATCAATCATCAATCATCAATCAATCATTAACCATCCTTCCCAGCCAGGTGGGGGTGGGGCATTCAGACAAAGATCAGTGAGGAGTGTGGACTCTTAAGATGTCAGCTGGGATGTGAGAACTTTAGGGGCCGGGCTGATGCTAATAAGGGACCACTAAGTCCTTGCCAGCTGACAGTCTCCTCTGAGGCCAGCGGTGCCACTGGGCAGGTGGGGCCCGCCAAGGACACCACAGCCTCCGCTGTGCAGAGAGGCATGCACTGAGGCTGCAAGTCTTCCTTCTTAAGTTCTTGTCGCCACTGAATCCTTCTGTGGCTGCAGCTCTGTCCCAAGCAGGCACCACCCCTCCCTCCAGGCTCCAATTCATATTTCAGAGCTTGAGGGACAACAAGAAAGTAGGAACTGGAGCTATTAAACCTCAAGGTGTCCCTATCCCTACAGCCATCCCCCCTCATCTTGAGTCCTGGTCCCATCTATGCTGTGGACGGAGATCAAGCCATTAACCAGCGTATCGTCTACAGCATTATATCAGGTGAGTGAGAGCTTAGCCCCACAGCACCTGGACCCCACAACAGAGGGACCAGACACCAAACTCCACCCCAAATTCTCCTAGGAAACACGGATGACACATTTATCATCAATGAAAACGATGGCAACCTCACGATGGCCAAAGACATCCCCAGCCCCATGATCTTCACCCTGCTGGTCAAGGTGGGTACCATTCCTAGATGGCAGATGGCTCTCCTGTGTCCCCAGCTGTGTCCCCAGCTGTAGTCTCAGATCCATTAAATCCCAACACCCATCTGTGCTTCCCCTGACTCCTCAGGCTGAACAGGCTGACAAGGCTCGATACTCAGTGACCCAGGCCATTGTGGAGGCTCGCAATGCCTCTGGGAGCCCACTCCAGTTCTCTCTGAGCCTGTACTATGGCACAGTGGTACTGGGTTCTGAGGCTGGCACAGCAGTGAAGGACAGGACCTTCCCTTCGGAGATCCTGAGGATTCAGGCTCAGTACCAAGGTTTCCCGGTATGCAGTCCCTTCCTGTTGACCTATGAACCCTATAAGCATACCTGGACCCTCTGGCCTCCTCTCTCTGTGTAGACTGCTTGGGGTGGAGAGTAGGGCACCAGGCCTAGGTCTCACTGTAGTCTCATCTAGGACCTCAACTCGGCTGTCACGTATCGAGTCACCAACTCCTCAGAATTCATGATGAATGAGGATATCATACTGACCACTGTGCCTATGGAGGAAGCGAGAACCATCCGTGTAGAGGTGGAGTGGGGATAAGGGGACCAAAGGTGTGGGGTAAAGAGGGACCCAAGAGGAACAAGTCCCTTTCCTGACCCAGGTAGAAGCTAGCAATTCTGTGACTAAGGACACAGCCACCGCTGCTGTTGAGATCCAGGTGTCAGAGCGGGAGCCGCCCACCACAGGTGAGCCCCCCAGGCCTCCCCAAGCAGGGTGGCTCCTCCTTTGGGGCAGGCATATCTGGACAGAGGCAAACCCAAGTTCTGTACATGCCACCACCAGAGTCCCCCACACCCCCAGAAGTTGGAGGAACAACTGGGCCTTCAAGTAACACCACTTTGGAAGCCCCCACGACCTCTGGGACCTCTCAAGGACCTGCCACAACCAACTCTGGGGGAAGTGCTGGCCCCTTCCCACCTGCAGGCACAACTCTAAGCCCACCCTCTTCTGCCTCATCTGTACCTGGGGGCTCCTCCACTCTTGGAATCAGCACCTCTCCCCAGACATCCATTCCTGGTGGGGCTTCAACACAGACCCCCAAACCAGGAACCTCCCAGCCAACAGCTCCTACTTCCACAAGTACCTCCCTCATGCCAAGCACATCCAGAACCAACCCAACACAGACCCCCAAACCAGGAACCTCCCAGCCAACAGCCCCTACTTCCAGAACTAGTACCTCCCTCATGCCAAGCACATCCAGAACCAACCCAACACAGACCCCCAAACCAGGAACCTCTCAGCCAATGGTCCCCATTCCAGGAGCCAGCACCTCTTCCCAGCCAGCCACACCTAGTGGCAGTTCAACACAGACCCCCAAGCCAGGACCCTCTCAGCCGACAGCTACTGGGCCCATCTCAGGTAGTCCAACACATTGCCCTGGGGTCACTGTCACCCTTAACTCAGACAGGAGTTCTAGGATGTGCTGTAGAAAAGGCTAACCTGACCTGGCCACACTGACCACCTCCAGGGAGTCTGTGTCCAGCTCTAGACAGATGGCCCCAAGAGGTCATAATAGGGTGAACTGAAGCAGGTATGCAGATGCAGAAGCAGATTTTGGAGCCAGTGAGTAATTCCCAGGAAAATCTGTATTTAGGGTCTCAGGCTAAGTAAGAGCACTACTCCAATAAGCAGGGAGATACGAGATAAAATTGAATATGTTATGGCTGTCAGTGTGTGTTAACAAATCCTTTTAATCCCAGCACTAGGGAGATAGTGAAAGGCAGATCTCTGTGAGTTCAGTCCAGTCTGGTCTACCCTGGTCTATGTAGGAATTTTAGTCCAACCACAGCTACAGGGAGAGAGAGAGAGAGAAAGAGAGAGAGAGAGAGAGAGAGAGAGAGAGAGAGAGAGAGAGAGAGAGAGAATTATGGCTGGATGTAGTGATACATGCCTGTGATACTGGAGACACTTAGGTAGGAGGATCACTTAAGCCTAGGAATTCAGGGCTAGCCTGGGCAACATACTGAGGCAGTGCTGCTAAAACAAAAACAAACAAACAAACAAACAAACAAACAAAAAATCCAGGGCTGGGGAGATGGCACACTTGGTAAAGTATTTATTTGCCTTCCAAGCACAAGGACCTGAATTTGGTCCCCAGAACCTACCTTAATCAGCTGAGCATGGCAATGTGCCCTTACAATGTCAGTGTTGGGAAGTCAGAGACAGGAAACTCTGGGGATCGCTGGCCAGAGAGTTTAGCCAGCTACAAGGCCAGCTGTAGACCAGTGAGAGACCCCAACTTACAAAGCAAGATGGGGACTGGCAAGATGGCTCAGCATCTTGCCTGACAACCTGAATTAGATCCCTGGGTCCTACACATGCAGAAAATTGACTTCTGCAAGTTTTTCTCTGACCACAACATGCACCATGACATTCAACACTAATACAAATACATAAATAAACTTCACACACACACACACACACACACACGCACACACACAGTTTCCACTGAAAGGTCTTTGTACTGGTCACTAAGCAGTACCTACTACCTTTGAGTGTGCATGGTCACAAGGGGGCCAGGCACTGCTAGCTGTCCCATTGGAGCCATCACCAGAGGCACCTTTACATGGCCAACTTCCGTAAGTGTCACTGAGCCCTGCTCTGGGTCTAAGTACAACATGTATTCAAAATTGTAGTCAAAGCCACATAAGACAAAGTTCACTACAACTGTCTACAGTGTGGCCCTTGAAGGCCATCCTGGTGAATCAGAGGCTGGTAGTCATGTTACCAGGGGCCTTGGTATCCCCAGGCAGGCTCCGTGGTGGAGTTAGTAGCACCCATTCTCAGAACCTCAAGTCTAGATGGTGGGCCAGGAGAAGCCTGTCTTGTTTTTATGTTACCCCAGCCTGGCCCAGGTTGGGAAGGGAAGTTCTTGGGAGTGTTCCAACAGTAAGTGGCCATGGTCTCTTTGACACCAGGAGGAGGCGAGCTGGGTGACGGCCAGAGATTTTCCACGGTGGACATGGCAGTGTTGGGTGGGGTGCTAGGTGCACTGCTGTTGCTGGCCCTCATCTGCTTGGTTATCCTGGTCCATAAGCACTACCGAAATCGGCTCACTTGCTGCTCTGGGAAGGCTTCGGTAAGGGCCTCTGCTTGGGTACTGGGCTAGGTACAGTAGAAAGGGGACTAACTCAGGGCCGAGGAGTCACGGAAAAAGGACCTGGAGGGAAGAGTGGAAACAGCTGGGGAAAACAGGGCTTTACAAGAGAAGGAAACAGAGGTAGGCTGGGATGGGTGTGGGGGTGGGGGCAGGGGGAGAGTGGGGGGCAAGCGGCGGGAGAAGGGTTCAGAAGGCACTAGGGGGAGTGGTATCACTGCGGCTGATGTCTTTGCCCTTACTCCACCATTAGGAGCCACAGCCAAATAGCTATGACAACCTGACCTTCCTCCCAGACAACAAGGCCAAGTGGTCGCCTGCCTCCAACCGGAAGCCAGAGCCGGGCCCTGAGCCTGCCCAGCCGCCCCTCCGGCCTCCTAGCCCCATGTCCTCCAGTCCCACGCCCCCCAGCTCCACGCCTCCTAGCCCTCAGCCCAAAGCTTCCGGGTCTCCTAAGACAGTCCAGGCTGGGGACAGTCCTTCAGCCGTGAGGTCTATCCTGACTAAGGAGCGGCGGCCGGAGGGGGAGGGCGGCTACAAGGCAGTGTGGTTCGGTAAGGACATCGGGGCAGAGGCTGACGTGGTGGTCCTCAACGAGCCCACCGCCGACGTGGACAGCGCCAGTGCCTCGGGAAGCGAAGGCAGCGATGATGATGACCCTAAGCAGAAGAAGAGTCTCCGCCTTGGCGCCGATGCTGACCACACTTACATCTAGCTCAGCACCCGGACTCTCCACCCCAAGCCACTCCCCTTTCCTCAGCTAATTAAAGTAGCACTTTCGAATTCCGGAGTCTTAAGGCGGGTGTGTGGGAACGAGAATGCCAAGGGTGTGAGCGGCCAGCTGCGGGCTGGGCTTCCGGGGGTGGGGGCGCTAGCCGCTGGAAAGTTCCCACTGTTGCCAAGGGGAAAGAGGGAGGTCTATCTTCCCCAAGATAGACAGTTTCGCTTGAGGGAGGGGAAGGAGCCAGAACTGTCCACTCCACAAGCACATTCATTTGGGAGAGGTGGTCTTTGGGACCTTCCTGAGGGTTACAGCCCGGCCGGGAGTGGTGGCTCACATAATCCCAGCATTTGGAAGGCAGAGGCAGGCGCATCTCTTTGAGTTTGAGGTTATTCTGGTCTCCATAGTGAGTTCCAGGGAAGGCAAAGCTATGTAGAGAAAGCATTTCTGAAGAAGGGGGTGGGGTGGGGGAAGGAAGGCTGCTTTGGCACTCTGCCCTACACAGGAAGTTTAGACATGAGGAATAGGGACCTACAGGTCATGTCAGTGAGTGGAGGGAAACCAGGGTTACAGAAGTTAGACAGCAGGAACTCCACAATCTGGGCTTCTTCTTGAACAGCAGTCATGGCCCGTTTTCTAATGACAAGTGACCCCGAATTCCTTTCCAAAAGTTTTTATTTCCTTCCAGTAGTTGAATACTTTTAAATTGGCAGTTTTAGGCATTTATACAATGTATCTTTCGGCTTTCATTTCCCACGGTGATTTTCACGCCCCAGTCTCTGCTGTCATGTTCTTTCCCCCTTGTTGGAAGCCTTCTTAACAAGTCTTCTTCCTAACTTTCCTGCCTTCTTAGTATCTCCCTGAGTTTAACTAGTTTCTATTTAAAATTTTTGGTATGTTCTGGTGTTTTTATTTTTAAATTTACTTTTATTTTATGTGTTTCCGTGTATGATCTATATGCATTCTCTGTGAGAGTGTCAAATTTGGAATTACAGTTGGGTGCTGGGGTTTGGACCCCAGTCCTCTAGGAAGATCAGTCAGCTCCCCTAACTGCTGAGCTATTTCTTAGTTTCTAGCTTCTTGTACCAGCTGGAACAAGGACAGTTTATTACTGAATAAATGATACCTCCTTCCCTAAAGGTAAATTGCTATTAGTGGGGGGAGGCACTGGGCTTCGCCCACACCTATGATGAAATGTTACCAGGACCACTTTTGTGGTGGTCATCTGCAGTGAGCTCATGGGTGGAATGACTAATGGCTATGTCTTGCTCAGAGACCTGTTTTGCTGTACATCTCTCCATTCTCGGGCGTTCGTTCTTTGTACCCCACCTTGGGAGATGTTCCCTGAGTCTTGGAGGGGGTGATAGAGATATCTCCAGCATTGCTTATTCTTTGCTCTTGGGCCAGTTAAAGGAGTCTACTCATTGCAATAAGAAACTTCTCAGCGGGCCGGGCGGTGGTGGCGCACGCCTTTAATCCCAGCACTTGGGAGGCAGAGACAGGCGGATTTCTCAGTTCGAGAGTTCGAGGCTAGCCTGGTCTACAGAGTGAGTTCCAGGACAGCCAGGGCTACTCAGAGAAACCCAGTCTCGAAAAACCAAAAAAAAAAAAAAGAAACTTCTCTAACAAAGGGTGGACACAACCCTAGAATATATATATATATATGATTTATTTATTTTACATATGAGTGTTCTATCTGCATGCACACCTGTGTGCCAGAAGAGGGCATCAGATCCTATTAAAAATGGTTGTGAGCCACCATATGGTTGGTGGGAATGAGCTGAGGACTTCTGGAAGGGCAGCCAGGGCTCTTAACTACTGAGCTGTCCCTCCTGCTCCCAGAGTCTTACTCTCTTATGGAGGTTGGCCCCAATCCTTCTGTTTCAACCTCTCTCCAGATGGTATATTCTTATCTGTACCATACTCAGTGTTAAGCCAAATTGTACCGTAGCCTCTCTTTAGACTCTACTTTCTAAGACTTTTCTGTGAGCAAAACAAAACAAAACAAAACAAAACAAAACAAAACAAACCTGCTGATTTTTGTGGGTATTCCTGCCTTATCCCGCTATGCTTTCCTGAGGAGGTACTGGGGAAAGCCCTTTCCCACACTTCGACCAGGGTCTGAGCCAACAGATAGACCTGCCACTTCTGTCCTCCCAAGATTTGGCCGGTCTGTTCAAAGCAGGGTCAGCCTCTCTCATTGAATCTACAAAAAGCCTGGGAAACTGAATCCTAGGGCCGAGTGCTACAGACTTGGGACACCCCAGTGACGTCTGGAGCCCTTAGGCCACACCCTGCGGCGCTTCGCCCCCGCCCCTGACCGAAGTAGTATAAAAGCACTGGCCGCCTCCTCCTCATTGAGATAAAACCGTCCCGGCGGCTCCGGTACCAGGTACGTGGGACCCTTGGGCCACTCTGGGAGGGAGGTGAGCTAGTGCCACAGGGGAAATTCTTGTCCCCTCCACAGAGTAGTGAGCGATCGGTAAAGGATAGTGAAGAGAGACTGGGGAAATGGGAGGGCAGACGCCCCGGCAGGATTTGCAATTGGATCTGCAGGGGTTGGGGTCTGAGTAAGGGTTGGGTGGAGGTCGAGGGCAGCACCGGTAGGGACTGAGACAGTGGGAAGCCGGCAGCTAACATGTGCTGTTCAGACTGTTTAGGTTTCATTTTCCCGAGAAGCAGTTTCGTTTTACTCGCCTGGGCCCGCCCCTTTTGTTCACCGTGTCTTTGCAGGGTCCAGCCTGTGACAGCTCGTCCAGGCCCGGACGCTGGATCAACATCTGTGACATCACGTGTGCGCTCCCGCTACATCTGTAGTCACATCTACAGCCACCTTGGCCGAGGAATCTACACTTAGGTTCGGAACCTAGGTGGCTACAAGTTCTCAAACCTCATCTGTGACCCTCAACATCCTAAAACCTGGGTCACACTTGTGCAACTTAAATTCCCACCTGTTACCAACACCCATAAACACTTAAAACACATTTATGAAACTTGGTCACACTATCTGTGGCTACAACCTAAAACCATAGAGACACCCTAGGGACTCTTCCCTTATTTGTAATACCCGACTGGTCCAGTGACAAGTCATCACAGAGTAGTAGCACCTACTTTGATTCTCCCAGACTGCCCGTGTAGAAGGAGCAATGGCTGAACTGAGGTGAGAACATGCCTACCCTAGTTGTATTGGATCCTGTATTCCTTGCATTAACCCTAATCCTAGCCTGGCTGCCCTGCCTGCAGGGGGCCCCAGCGAGTGCTGTTTGGAGATTGGCTATTGGGTGAGGTCAGTAGCGGCCAGTATGAGGGGCTGCGATGGCTGAATGAGGCTCACACAGTCTTCCGTGTACCCTGGAAGCATTTCGGTCGTAGGGATCTGGATGAAGAAGATGCACGGATCTTTAAGGTGGTATCCAGTCCTGCCCTCTTTATAATCTGCCAGAACTCCTCGGGAATCCAGCCTTAACCCATGCTCTCTCTTTTCCTTCAGGCTTGGGCTGTGGCCCGAGGGAGGTGGCCACCTAATGGAGTTAACTTACCACCCCCAGAGGCTGAGGCTGCTGAGCGAAGAGGCTGGAAGACCAACTTCCGATGTGCTCTCCGAAGCACAGGGCGCTTTATCTTGCTTAAAGACAATTCAAGGGACCCGGCTGATCCACACAAGGTGTATGAACTTAGCCTGGAGCTTGGATCTGCTGGTGAGCAGTGCCACAAATAGGGATGGGCCAGAGAGGTACATGGCCTCTGTTGTTTTCGTGGGTTCAATGGTTAAGATTTGTGGTTTTTGAAACTAGTTGTAGATTCAGTTCCTCTCCTTCCAAGGGGTGTGTGTGTGTGTGTGTGTGTGTGTGTGTGTGTATACACTTCCTCCTAAGTCAGAGCCTTGGGCTGAGTGAGGTACCTGGTGGTTTGGGAACAGAAGGTATGAGAAATAGAGAACTTTTGGAACTGCTCAGGCATCATAACCAAACTGCACATCAGACTCAGATCCAAATCTCCCCTCCCCCTCTCCTTCAGTAGGCCCAGCCATGGAAAATAGGGAAGAAGTGACCCTCGGCAATGCCCTACCCACACAGGTACAGTCTGGTTCATTCTTTCTAGGTGTGGGGGACTGGTAGCTTGCCTACCACTATGCTTTCTCTTGCAGGGTGTGTCCATAGGATCATTCCTGGCAAGAGGAAATGCTGGGCTCCAAACCCCAAGCCCTCTGCTTTCTAGTGATGCTGGAGACCTCTTGCTTCAGGTTCTGCAATACAGCCACATACTGGAGTCTGACTCGGGAGCAGACTCCATGCCACCACAGGCACCTGGTGAGAGACAGGAACTGTCACAGAGCTGGGGCCAAGCTAGAGAACACCTGTCTACCCAAGGCTGGATGAGAGGGAGGACAACAGAGCCCCTGCTGGGAGGAAAGCTGAGGATGCTGAAATGACAGGGGTGGGAAGCTGGGGTACGATGGACAGGCAGCTCCAATTTGTCCTCAGGCCAGGAGCAAGAACACGTTTCTGACGAACCCTATGCAGCATGGCAGGTGGAAGCTGTCCCCAGCCCCAGGCTTCAACACCCAGCTCTGAACACCGGTGAGGACCCGGGGACCTGTTGGCATGGGCTAGAGCTGAGGTGCTAGTGCGGCTCTCCCAGGCACAACACTGCTCCACTGACCCCTCACACCTGTACCTCAGTGGGAGGCGAATGGATCCTTGGCAGGGGATGTGGGACAAAATGCCCCACCCCCACTCACAGCTTGGTCTATACAGAGCACAACCTTGGGTCCCTGGATGTGACCATCATGTACAAAGGCCGCACAGTGCTACAGGCAATAGTGAGGCACCCCAGATGTGTGTTCCTGTATAGCCCGATGAGCTCAGCAGTAAGAACTTCAGAGCCCCAGCCGGTGATTTTTCCCAGCCCAGCTGAGCTCCCGGATCAGAAGCAGCTGCACTACACGGAGACTCTTCTACAGCATGTGTCTCCAGGCCTGGAGCTGGAGCTTCGGGGACCATCTCTGTGGGCCCTGCGTATGGGCAAGTGCAAGGTGTACTGGGAGGTGGGCAGCCCTATGGGCTCCACCAACCCCTCCACCCCAGCCCAGCTGCTGGAGCGCAACTGCCATACCCCCATCTTCGACTTCAGCACTTTCTTCCGAGGTCAGTGAGGCATCTGTCTGGGGTGTTGTCCTTTGGGGCCTAGAACCTTTCTTAACCTGCTCACCAGAGCTATCTCCTTAACAGAACTGGAGGAGTTCCGGGCTCGAAGGCGGCAAGGATCACCACACTACACCATCTACCTGGGTTTTGGGCAAGACTTGTCAGCAGGGAGGCCCAAGGAGAAGAGCCTGATCCTGGTGAAGGTATAGCCTGGGTTGGTCAAGTAAAGATGTGTAGGCTGCTGGTTAAGAGCCCTAACAGATGTCCTTCCCACAGCTGGAGCCATGGCTATGCAAGGCCCACCTGGAAGTCGTGCAGCGTGAGGGCGCATCTTCCCTGGATAGCGGCAGTCTTGGCCTGTGCTTGTCTAGCACCAATAGTCTCTACGATGACATTGAGCACTTCCTCATGGACCTGGGTCAGTGGGCTTGATTCAGAACCCCGGCTCCCAATAAATAGTTCAGAATCAGCGCCGCCCTGCTCTATGTTCTCTCTACTGGACCTTGTGCAATCCCTTGAAAGAAGGCAACCCCCACCTGCTACACACTAGGCCTCCTGTGCAGCACTCATCTTCACAATGAAGAGCTGGTCGGGTTACCACCACCTCTTACTGGGTGCAAATGCTCTAAGACAGGAATCGGGAGCACACTTGTGGTGCCAGGTGTATTTGGGAAGGTGGGAGTGTGTGCCTAAGCCTCTGAGACCCACAGCACTGTGTCCTGTCTCCTGACAGGGCACAAAGCACCTAGAGTAAGAGACTTGCTACAGCAGGGACATCATGAGTGAGTGCTGGCAGCTGGCAGCTACAGAAGCGTCCCACTGAGCCATCAGGCTTTGAAACCAAAACTGCTTCACCTTCTAAGCACCAGTCCATAGAAAAGTTTCTAAAGATAAGCCATTTTTGATAAATTAGAACACAATGGAAACAGTGTATCTATAATATACATATAAAAAAGTCCAGTTTTCAATTGTAAGCAAGACAGGTGCAGACAGGGATCATGAGAACCTCAGAGGCAGGACTGCTGGTGGCCCCATTTCTTTCCTGCTGGGGACGCCTCCCCGTACAGTGGCTAGCCTCAGGTCTCAGCACCCTGAGTGGGTGGCTCCTCTCCAGCTTCAGTCTTCCTGTGCCTGCGCATATGCCTGTATTTGTCCACATAGGCTTTCACCAGGTTGGCCACCTTCACAGGGTTGATTTCGCCACTCTTGCTGTGGCAGATCTGAAGAAAGAACACATCATCCTGAGTGCTCTCTCAATCTGTCACAAACATCGACTCAGCCAGGCTTCCTCGCCCTGGCCATCTCAAGTCGTGCCCTTGGTCTTTTTTTTTTTTTTTTTATTTTTTTTTTTTTATTTTTTTTTTTTATTTTTTTATTTTTTTTTTTTTAAATTTTATTTTATTTATGAGTACACTGTAGCTGTCTTCAGACACACCAGAAGAGGGCATCCAATCTCATTATGGATGGTTGTGAACCACCATGTGGTTGCTGGGATTTGAACTCAGGACCTCTGGAAGAGCAGTCAGTGCTCTTAACCGCTGAGCCATCTCTCCAGCCCGTGCCCTTGGTCTTAAGGGTACTTGTATGCCCACCCTACACAGACATCTATAACCACACTTCACAGAGCTGCTGAGGTTTATATTCCTGTGTCAGAGGTCAGAAGGAAGCGAAAACTTGTTCCTATCGAAAGATCTCTCAGAGACTTAGTTCCTCCAAAGATCCAAAGAAACTGGGTGTCTTGAGGACACCTGACACTCCTCATCTATTATTTTATGCGCACTGTCTGAGGGGCACTTCGTAGGACACAAGACTCATTTAAGGCTTCAGCCACTTGGCTCAGCTGACTGACCCAGGAGTCCATGCAAACTAGCAATGGCAGCTCTCTGACACATACAGATTTAGCTATTCTGAGTCACAATGAGTCCTTTGCAACCTCAGGGTTGCCAAAAAGGCATGCCTACCTTCTGCACGGCTTTGCGCAGTATGTCCTTGTACTCCTCCTTGGTCACTTCTCTCTTCTGGTAGAAGGGTTTAATGGCCAGTTTCACCTCCTCCACAGCCCGTTCCTGCATGTGCAGCTTCTTCATGTACTAGGAGTGAGGAGGAGGACATGTGTGACCCTGTGGCAAGATGGCCAAAACTGACCTGTAGGCTCTTTTATGAGAAGCCAGGAGTTCTGGGATATTCATTTGCCAAAGAACATAAAGGCAATGGGCTGGCTGCTCTCTTACCACCCTGACCAACCCCACGGGCCTGAATAATAGACCTAAAACCAGGCCCAACTAAGACAGGCTATGGGAGGACAGGCAGCAGCACTCACCTCCTCCTTTTTGGTCTTCTCAGCAGCTGTTTTGGGAGTGGCAGTCCTTTCTTCTGAGTTGTTGGTGGTTGCAACAGCTAGCTCTGAGGCTGTAGCTGGCATAGTGGGCACTGGGGCCAGGCTCTGTGCTGCACCACAGCCTGCTAGGGGAAGGGTCCCCTGCAGGATCAACTGGACTGAGGGCTGGCTGACCAGTGCATAGGGCAGGACGCTTGAGGGCTGAGCCAGGGGTGGTGGCATGTTGGGGCTGTAAACCTGGGCAAGAATACCCCCTGCTGAGGGTAGCGTCCCAACAGCTGGAAGCCCTTCTGCCCGGGGAGCACCAGGGGGCTGTACAAAAAGAAGTAGTACCATGAGGTCTAAGCCTTAGGCAGGGCAGCCCGAAAAGCCCAGCACAAGGACCATGCCCCTCTAGCCCAGCACCCACCTGAGAGGGATCTGCATCAGGTAACCCAGACTGCTGGAGCACGTGGATGGGAGGGGGCAGCTCGGAGAATGGTGCCTGCTGAAATCCTATGAGGGCCCTGTCCTCTGCATCCCAGTCTCCTTCCTGGGGCCTCTGGGGCCTCTGAAGTGGTGTCCCTGAGGACCCAACAGACAGGGAGTGTGGATGTCTTGTGGTCAACCCTGGCCAAAACATTTTCAGAGAACCAGCAGTGGGAATCAAGGCCAAGCTGCAGATATGTCTGTAAGAAGCTGGACTTGGGTAGGGGACCCGAATTGGCAGGAGAGGCTCTTAGGGAAGCTGCCCCCCTGCCTCATGCCTGCTCTATACCCCTGACCCACAAGGGCAACCACCACCAAGGTCCCAGCCAGAGGCAGGACAAACTCACTTGGATCTCTGCCCAGGGCCGGGGTGCTGTCCTCTGCTTCTTGCAGGTTCCAGGTGACTCTTTTCACCAGGGTTCTGGATCGTAGCAGTGGGGCCTGGGCCACCGAATCCTTGGGCCTGACTGCTTCACATCCTCTCCCACTCAACAAAGGACTGTCCTTTCCCATGGACACCACACCTGGGGTGCTAAGAGTTGTAGCAGTGGTCTCTACAGTGTCCTGTCTGAGTGGGCACTGGTCTGAAGGGCCGAATGCCTGGGGTGTAGACTGTGAGATCTCTTCACTGTGAGTCGGTAACACCTCCCTCTGGATGGTAGGTAAAGTACTGTGTGGTGGAAGGCTGGCTGGGGGCAGTATGGGATTTGGTGGGAAGTCTCGCTCAGGGGAAGAGTCTGTACTCTCAGGGGAAGGAGGTGAGCTCATGTCATCAAGCTGGATGAAGATGGCTTCATTTGAGAAATCCTCAAAGATGTGGCCTGCCTCCACAGAATCACCATAGTCAAGGTCCTCAGGCACACATGCTACTGGCTCTGCCAGGACAGGAGGGACTTCTGGAGGGTTCAGGTCAGCCACAACCACATCTGGCAGGACACTTGCTACCTCTGGCAGGACACTTACTTCTGAGACTGGAGGCTTGGCAGAGTGGTCTCCATCCTGCCTTGGCTCTCCCTGTGGAGCAGGGACTGGGGAAACCTCCCTCACAGGCTCCTTCTTCTCTGGGGAATAGGGACGCTTCTCATGGGAATGTGGCCTTCGTGGCCTATGCTCCAAGCTGGGCGACCGAGACCGCCACCTCCTCCTCTCCCGGGACCGAGTCACACTCTCCTTCTTGTCCATCCGCTCTCGGCTCCTCTCCCGATGTTTGTGTCTCCGGTCCCTCTCCAGGCTGCTGTGTGGTGAGCAGTCTCTGCCATGAGACCTGGACCCCGAATGCCGCCTCTTCCGTCTCCTACTCTCATGTCGCTCACAGGAAGAACTGCCAGGACTCCCTGATCGGGACCTGGACTTCCTCCAGCTCCTGCCATGACCCCAAGGACCCCGCCTATGCTCCCTGTCTCTGTCGTCTCTGTCCTTCCTCCTCTTTGCTCTGTCCTGGCTGCTGGCACGGTCACTAGAAGACCTCCGGCTCTTAGTCTTGGCTCTGTGCCTCTTGCTGTGTTCCTCAGCAACTGGAGATACAGAGCGTGAAGTCCTGTCCCTGGAGCCAGAGCGAGTGCTGGAGCGTGTCCTCTGGTGCTCTCTGGAAACCTTCTTCTTCTTCTTCGTTTTCTTCCTGCTTCGGGAGCTGGAGGTGGAGCGGGAACGGGATGAGGCCCTGAACTCCACAATTCTGTGGGTAGTTATCTGAGGAGCATCTGGGCTTGGTGGGACACTTGGCTCCTCAACAGTCACACATGTCACTGTCCGTTCCTCAGAACCAAAGAAGGGTGTACAGGGCACTTCGTCCTCATCATCCCAAGGGTCTGGTGGGGACGGCCTCTGTGTTCGGGCTGTGGAGCCCTGAATCTCTGTATGCTCCATTTCCCCTAGTCCTTCTTGCTCCAAATCAGAGGCTCCCTCAGCAGGTCCCTTGCCGAGTAACTCCAGCATGCCAGATACAGGCTCACCAGGCGTCTGGGGCTCAGGCTCCCTCTCAGTTCCAAAGATGCTTTCTACCCTGTAGGAGGTAACACAGCGCACAGACTGGAAGGCTGGGGCCTTTGGGCTGTTGATGGAGATAGTTCTTGTGATCTCGGAGGGCAGAAGGCCTGGACCAAGACTCTCTGGGCTGCTGCTAGGAGGGCTAGAGTCTGAGCCAGTGGGATCAAAGGGGTCATAGATTTCACTTTTGAGTTGTTTCGGCTTCTTGATGGAGAAGAGGGGTGAAGGGTTCTCTTTCCTCTGCACCTTGCTATCTACTGGACGGAATGTGTTACAGAATCCAGGGCTAGACAGCTGGCTGCAGTGGGCAGTGTTCCCAGGGATATTGATCCTGAAGCTTTCAAAGCTAGACCCAATGCCTTTTCCTCGGGAGGGCCCTAGAGGGGCCAGGCTGCCATGGGAGCTGGGCGCAGGAGGTCGAGAGCCACTTGTGTGTGAGCCAGTCTCCTGGGGGCCCCTGCTGCTGGGCTCACTGTCAACTCGGCCTCGCCCTGGCTGCCCAGGGCCTTCCCTGCCAGTCAGGCGGCTGATGCAAGTGCTAGGAAGCTCGACGATCTGGCCGCTGGCCGGGGCCCGGTCCTGTGTGCTATTATTGCCATCTCTGTGGATCTTTGGTATCCTGGGTAGCTTGGAGAAATCAGGTCTCCTGGGGTCTGTTTTCTGAGGACGCCCAGGAGCT